TAACATATGAACATAATTGTCTTACAGTGACACAAAAAGTGGCTAGAGAATAATTTCACCTCAACTTAACTCATTCTACAAGTACTTCACGGGTGGGCGGGTGGGACATGTCAGGCAATGGCGGATGGCAAAACAAAAACTGAAACCTTGCACAAGCCATGTGACCTGAAACCCCCTGCACAGCTGTACCGAGACTCCCAGCCGTGTGCGAGAAAAACGTTTTCTGCTTGTTTTGTTCCTCAGCCAACGGAAAACCACACTTCTCACACACCGCTGGGAGCCATGCCAAGCCGAACCACACAAATGTATAACCCACAGAGTGCAGAATATAGGAAAACTCAACTCATAACATACTTTCTACTCACACAAAAACTATTTCGATGACAAAAGTGGACATGTAATGATCGAAATAGAGTTCCTTGAATGTCTAGTAACTAAACACGAGAAAACAAGCTGTTGGCATAAACAACATAGAATCAAAGGCAATGTCAATGTCCATCCTTAATTAACTTTGAACAAGTACACTGCAGAAGCCTGTCTTAGGACTCATTATTTATGTAAATTGTTCCGAGCCCTCTCGCTCTGCCAGCTGTTGGCATAAACAAACAGAGTTAAAAACCATGCCAAAGCCATCCTAAATTGACTTCGTAACTAGTAGAAGCGAGTCTAAAGACTCCTTTATGTAATTATTCTGAGCCTTCTCACTTCTCCAACCTCCATGTCTCTGGAAGAGTCTGTCTGGCACACTGAGAGCTGCTGCTGCAGAAGCTCCTCCTGAATGCAGGCTATGGATTCCAAACTTTGTGGGGTCTAGACCTTCTTTGCCAATCTCCTTCTTGATCAGCTCCTTTGCCCGACTGTAAGACATAGCCTCTTTCCGCAGACGAACTCCTCTCTTGGTATGCAACATGCGTCAAAATAACAGAGAGCCTTTGGAGTGGTTTGCAATTCTCAAGAATTTCTCAGTGATTTTGATTGGGCAAGGGGGTGTACTGCAACGGGCTGTAAAAGGCCATGACCCCTCGCGGAACTGATCATTTTTCCATTTTTCCAGAAAAATAGCTACATGGGAATCAGCAAAATTAAAGGTGTCTACTGACAAATGGCGCAAGTCATCCCATCGAAGAAAACCAAAGAAACCCAGGGAAAACAAGGCTGCCAGCTGGAAGTCACCAAGGTTACCCTTCTCAAGGCAACTGATCACTTTCCGCACCAGAACAGAAGACAATGGCCCTTTACATTCAGCTGGTCTGGCAAGAATTCGCCTGGCAGCATCAAGCACTTGTTTCACTACCAGATACTCACTCGGCTCCTGATAACCACTCTTTTTATGAACCCAACTCACACCGTACACTGCAGAATTCACTGAAGACGCTAACTGGGTCTGTTGAATGAGAGATAAGACGTACAGTGCGAAGAGCACAGAATCTGCTGGCAGGAAAGCAGCATCATGACATCTGCCCTATGACTTCCAGGATTTATAAGTGCACAGATAAGTCGCAACTGTTGTAGCAGCGTGATCACGAACCAATGCAGCTGGTAACGCTTTTGCTAGCTGTGGCAATTCTGGATGGTCAAAACGATCTGCATGAAATTCAGCTGGAGAGATGACCTCCTCCACCAAGGGTTGTGCAGCTGCAACACAATGATAAATTATGCCATAAGAGCAGGGACAAATCCAGTAAGCACACATACCATAAAAGAGGAGTAGATCCGCATGCATGTACATACAAGAAAACTTG